TTTTTTTACAAAGTTTGTGTGTATTAAGATCCTACATTCATGATGTCATTTACTGGCTCTCCAGGGTAGATTTTACACATGAGGAAACTTAACCTTAAGTTAACTGTCCAGGATCATATAGCTAGTAAGTCGTAGGGCCAGAAATTGAGCCTAGGTCTATCCAGCTGGGAAATCTATTCTGGTAAAGTCTGCACTCTATTGTTTTACATTTACACACACTTAGTTTCACATAGATTATAAAAGGTCTTCTTGAACTCACAATACCCTTGAGAGGTGGGGCCTCATCCCCAACTTTACTTAAAAGGACCTGTAACTAAAGTGGCACAGCTGAGCGAAGATCATCTTTTAGTCTAGTGTTACAACACTTGTAACATGTTCAGAGTCACTTTTTTCATTCAGTACAACTCACTCTTCTTCCCTTCTCTCCCGTATCGGGATGATAACCACATATATTAGTAAACATATATGGTATCAAAACAAGTAAGCTGATCATAGCATTAATATTATTAATTTATATTTGAAAGCTAATTACCTACTGCACAATCTTAGAAGGAGCTATGATCTGCAAGAGCTAAAATGGTTTAATCTCCTTGTCCAACTGTCAAACACTCATTCAATAAATAATTCACTGAGTATCTATCAGGTCCCTGGGTGGCGCAAATGGTTTGTCCTGGGCTACTAACTAAAAGATCGATGGTTCAAATCCACCCAGCAACGCTGGGAAGGAAGTCCTGACAATCTACTTCCTCAAGATCTCAGCCACTAAAAACCCTATGGAGTGCAATTCTACTCTGACATACACTGAGCCACCAGGAGTCAAAATCAACTCAAGGGCAACCAATTTTGGTTTTTTTTTTGGATCAGGTACATTAGCATTGTGGTGCTGAAGCCACAAAAGTAAAGACGCTGTCCTGGAACTCCTAGGAGCTATACGGTTTAGTAAGGAACAGCCCAGCAAACAGTAAATACAATGTGCTAGAAGTTACTATAGAGGAATAGAAAATATTGCATAATAGTCTATAGGACTTAGTGAATAGCCCTGCCCATGGGGGAAGGAAGAGCATTCTTGGTGGTGGTAATCCATAAAGACAGTGTGCCATTTAATGCTGGACTGTGGCACAATTTCAGTTTCTAATGAATGTTAAGATTTCTGCATGTAACAGTCATAAACTTATAAAGCTAGCCTCAGAAATGTCTTCCACGCTTCAAATGACTAGCGTGTTTGTGTGTGTGTGTGCGTGAATTGCGTACGTCAAAGCTTTTTTTCACATTCAACCTTAGCAACAACTTACTCACCAGTTCCCACTGCTAATCCTCAGATTCTTCAGTGGTTTATATTATTGCTTTCATAAAACCAAAAAATGAAACCCATTGCCATCGAGTTGATTCTGACTCATAGCAACCCTACACAGCAGAGTAGAATTACCCCACAGGGTTTCCAAGGCTGTCATCTTTATGGAAGCAGACTGCCACATCTCTCTCCTGCTGAGTGGCTGGTGGGTTAGAACTGCTGACATTGGATGAGCAGCCAAGCACTTAACCACTGTGCCACCAGGGCTCCACCACTTTCGTAAGTTCCCTAAAATTTGGGGAATTGTAAATAAAACTGCAGACTCATTCAACCTCTCTCATATTGATTTTTTTTTTTTTCCTCTAGTACTCAATGCTTATAGCTGATCTTCTCTTTCCCATTTTGGTCTCACCCAGACAGGACTGGTTTGAACCTTCCAGACCACCTAAGGAGTTCTGCTTATTTGGTGGAATGTCACCTGAGCAATAAAGTGACACTGCTTATTCTCTTCTGTCCTCTACAGATCAGGGAAGTCTCAATCTGGAAGAAATTAATGGATAAAACTATATACCTATAGCAAGCATAGCTAGGAGTTCCTGGCAATCTGCTTCTGAAACATCACAGCCTTGAAAACCGCATGGAGCAGTTCTACTCTGCGCACATGGGGTCGCCATGAGTCAGAACTGCCTTAACGACGACTAACAACAACAGAGACTACTTGAGTGTCAGCAGCAGGCATGGCTACGTAAGCACATCAGGAGATTAATGCTATTGTCCAATACAGATGTGAAGTACAAAATGCTAAAACTGTATACCACAAGGGACAACTGAGGTCTTCTTTATAACCTGGAGAACATCTATTGCCGTACAGTAAAATTCTGGCTCATAGTGACCATACAGGACAGAGGTGAACTGTCCCGTAGAATGTCCAAGGCTATAATCTTTATGGAGGAGCCCTGGTGGCACAATGGTTAAAACCAACCACCTTTCGGTTAGCAGCTGAGTGCTTAACCAATGCGCCACTCGGAGAAAAAAGTAAGATCTTCAAGGCTATGTCTTCTAGTAAGGAGCTTTTCTATTTTGAATTCACCATAAAAACATTTTATTAAATTGCTATTATTACAAAATTTTAATTAACTTTTTGTTCTTCTTAACAAAGTAAGACCAGTTTATGGCAGAAAATTTGGAAGTTACAGAAAACCAAAAATGACTAAATCAGTCACATCCACCACACAACGAGGATTCCCTCCTCAGTTTTCAGCTGTCTTTGAGTCACACTGGTTGAAAAACTACCGGATTTAACTGAGAATATGATTTTTCAGACAAAGAAAAACTGTACCTTAAATTAAAAAGTTAAATTTGTAATTTTTCTAAGGGCTTTCAATTTAAAAGAACCAAGGAACTTTCTGAGTTTGCAGTCAAAATAAAGGGGTTTAACCTCAAAGCAAAAAGCACTGTTCCCTAAAGCACAGTGTTTGGGGGCAAAACACTGCCTACTACATTCCACGTGAAACGGCAGTACACTGGCTTGGCAAAAACCTACGCAAAACAATTTCTGTATTTTCACAAAATACTATTATTAAAATCTGAAGAGGTCACCTCCAGTTTTACGAATGGGGAAAGCTAAGAAGTGATACAAGTGTTACTTAACTAAAATCAACATAAAACTGGTCAAGGAATTGATTAGGAGTAGCAATTATACATGATTTCAGGGAGGAATGGCAAAAGAGAAAGATGTCAAACGGCAAAAAAAAAAAAAAGAAGTCAGCAGTATCTTGACTTAACCTTCTTACCTTTAAATCTACAGTCAAATAAATTTGGTTTAATTGTATTCCATTTCCACCCCGAACAGTTTCTGAAAAGTTCCCTTTCAGGGAAATCATTCTCCATAGCCTAGCTTGGGCCTCCTAAATACCACGACGTTGCAACACTATCTTTCAACACCTCTCCATTCAATTCAGGCTGTCGCATTAGCATTACCATCATCCCGTTTTGACGCTACCCGTTGCCACCCAGTCGATTCCGACTCACAGCGACCCTACAGAATAGAGTAGAACTCTCCCATAGGGTTTCCAAGGCTGTAAATCTTTACAGAAGCCAACTGCCACATGTTTCTCCGGCTGCGTGGCTGGTGGGTTCCAACTGCTGACCTTTAGGTTAACAGCCGAGCGTTTAACCACTGCGCCACCACGGCTCCTGTTTTGAAGCTCGTGTATCTTTATTCTTTTAACTGTCCTCCCTCCCTGCCTGCACCATAAAAGCAGAGAAAAAAAACATAAAAACTTGCCTTTATCCTTCCAGTCCCACCCAAAGCACGTGAAAACCTACAGAACCTCTCCTGCAGGGATGGCAGATAAAACCCTCAGAATTAGAGAAAGCACATTCAGAAGCAGGCTCTTCAGTGGCTCTGCAGTGAGAGCCGTGTATCAGTGACATTCCCTCCCAAGCCTGTCTCACCGGAGACGCCTCTGCCTCCAGGCTTTTCCTCTCTCCTCTCTCCCCAGCCAAGGCTGAAAGTAAAGGCGATTCGGGACCTTTGCCAAATAATGGGTTTTGGGTAATGGGACCCGGCGGCTATGGCAGACCCCGGGGAATGGCTGAAGGAATCCCAACCCCCGAAGCCCCAAGGACTCCCGAGAGTAAACCATAAGGCCGCACTCGTCCCCAACCCCGAAGAAGGTGGACATCGCAACCCCTAGGTAGTGGAGGCGGCCACAGTGGGGAAAGGGGATCAGGAGAACTGGAGAAATAAGGGTGACAGCGGGGAAAAAAGCCCCGGGCACTGAAGGCCGCCGTTCACATTTCCCCTTTTCTTTGCTTCGCATCCCTTCTCCTATCCTTATCAGTCACCGATTACCCGTCGCCACTCACCTGCCCGGCGCGAGGCGCAAAGACCAGTACGGACCACCGACCCAGAGGCTCTGTCACTGCGGGAGGGGAAGTCTTTAGCTGCGGGGAGGGCGGGTCTAGTCCGTCACGTGACCTACAGCCCCGCCCTGCCGCTCTATTTCGGGGGCCTGTATCTTTGCAGATCGTTTGAATACTAATTTCCTGCGGTTAAAGAAAAAAAAAAATATTTCACTAAGATTGTGTTGTGAAGTGCAACGTAGGAGACATGGGTGGCAAGGGTTAAAGTCCATTGCCAAGGTTGTGACGTTCACGCCACGATCTAGGGACCGGAAATGGCGAGGGCGTTCCGTCCTTCTGGGGCCTGCCGGTAAAATCCCAGGCCGCAAGGTTTGAGCCAATCACGTGATCCCAAAACTAGCGTGCTGGATGGATGCCAAGTTATCCAGCCGCTTGTTAACTACGTTTACTTGTCTTAAAAACGCCTCATTGACCTAAGCTTCCCATGGACGTCAGACTTACTACCCCCGCTTTATAAAATCCCATTAGAAGACAAGAACATTTGAAGGTCACTCTGGAGACTACCAACTGAAAACAGAGTTGAGGTAGATTGAGCTTGCTGAAGCGAGAGAAGCTAGAGAAGGGTGGAAAAATCTGGATTTTATCGCCAGCGCCTACATGCCAACCCCTGAAGTAGTGTCGTAAGGAGTGGGAGGAGAAGAGTGACGTCAGAGGGCGTAGCCCAGTCAGAAGATGGAGGGCCTGGGATGGGGGCTCGGTGCGCGGCGGCGCGCAACGCGGCTGCGCGAGAGGCAGCAGGCGCGCCTGCGCGCAGAGGGGCGGGGTGAAAGGTCACGGCACGGCGGCGGGTCTGGCTGGCGGCTGCGGGCGGGAGCGTATCGCTCAGTGTGCACGTGTGGAGAAACAGCGGCCCCGGCAGACACACGGCTGTGCTCGCCTCTCGCGGCCTCCGTCACCCGCTCAGTTCTCTGCCTTAGGCGAGGAGGCCGGCTGGTGGGCTTGAGTGGCCGAGTTGAGGGCGCGGAGAGCTGCGGGCGGCGGCGACGGCGGCGTTGATATTGGTGGTAACGACGGCCTCAGCAGGCGGGGAAGATGAAAGGGTGAGGAAGGGCTGCCGCGGAGGCCGGCCCCGGGGGGCGAGACTCGAGGAGCAGACGGGCGGACGAGGGGTGCCGGGCGGAGGGGTTTCTGGGTTTCCCCGCTCGCGGAGGGGCGGAGGCAAGGTTCTGACTGTTGGCGGGCTCAAGAGTCAGCGGAGACAAGACCCGGGGGCCCAGGAGCTCGGCGCGGAGGACGAGTGTGGGCTGAGGGGGGCAGCAGGGAGAAGCTGTTGTGAGGCGTCGCGGCCTCCTAGCCCGGAGAGGACTGCTGAGCCGCGGGACTGGGCCCGGCCCGCCAATCCAGGTGGAGTTCTCGGTCGTTCTCCACATCCAGGCTCAACACTGGGCGCCGCACTGACACCTGGTAGTTTTATCTTCATTGGGAGGCGTGCAGAACATTCTAGAGGGAGAAGGAATTGGAATAAAAAGCCTGGAGATGAGAATTAAGACCTGGTGACTCAACTGGATTTGGGTTGGGTCAGAGCGGGTGGAGGAGGGGGAGAGAGCGCGAGCACTGTGGACTTGAGGTGCTAAAATGTTTAAGGAAGTGTCGTTGGTCAGTAGGTGGAGCTATTGCTTCAGTAGTTTACTATTGCCCCTCAGTACTGTGAGGGGGGTCCTTGGTTACTACGATTCTGTTTTGAGGTGGTTGGCGATGTTTAATGTTTTTACCATTTCTGTATTTTACCATTTCTCCTTCTTGGATAAAACTAAGGAATATTTTGGTTCGACTATTTCCAATTGAATAAAATGTCTTCTTATTTATTAAGTTTTATACTGTTAAAGTATCAATTACATAACACGGTGAATGTTCTAAAACGTTGTCTGAATTAGCAGTTTAGAAGCTTGCCTTCTCTACCCTGCTTAGAAAAAGAAATGGAAGCTTGTAAATGTTAAAAGCTTTCTGGGATGCTTGAGTTTTTTCTATTACAGCAAGTCAGTTAAAGAACTGTAATATGTTTTGAATTAGTGGAGCTTTTCAAACTATTCAATAGCCCTTTCAGGAATGACTGTAAATGTCAGTCTTCTAAGTAATCTCATACTGCCTAAAACAAGGTCGAAATATTAGCTGTGTGTGTGTGTTTGAGGTCGCAGAAGAGGTTCCAAGGAAGTTTAATTTGGCCTCAGGTCTGTAATATGTTTCCTTACTCTGGCTTTGCTTTAAATATTGGAAATTATTTCTAATGTTGAATTGTACGTTTTGTATTTAAAATCTTTAAAGATTAGAAATCATGAAGAAATTTTCACAGTTCCTGGCGTTCCTGTGAAACTTTTCATAAGCTGAAATGGCGTAAAGGGAAGAAGCAATTATCATTCATTTATATAGGAAAAATTTTTGAGCTGTCCCAGACCAAAAAACATAACCTACCGAATCATACCAAATAACACATAAAACCTAAAATGACACAAGCATATAGTAAAACCAGGAATGATATGATAAATACACAACCTATATAAGGTAGAAATTACGTATGTATAGTGTAGCTTCATTTACGAGAATCGGGAAGACGGCAAGCACACTGGAAGGCTGAGGTGGTGGTGGTGATGATGGTAGCCCCCGTCGCCTAGCTAGCAATGGCACATGGGGTTGGGTTAAAGGGCCATGGTTTGAATCCCACAGAATGGTATTTATTCTAACTGCGTGCAAAGGATGAGTCCTATAGTTAGAGAAATGCACAGGGGACAAGTCAAGGATTGGATCTCTCTATGAATGTTACGATTATACCACACCAAGCATTTGATTGGATGTGGCTGGGCAGTGCTGCTGCTTTAAAGGCTCACTGGAAAACAAATGCTGAACGCTGTTTCTGCTTTTCGCCTTTTTGGTAAAAGCGAAAATCCTCTTCAGATTTCTTTCAGTTAGCGAAAACAGGTACTAATGTAGGTCTTTCGTAAAGGTGAAGCGGCTTAAAGTGAACTTTTCAAAAGAGGGGGATACCTGTATTTCACATGAAGTCCTAAAGAATTCTAATCAGGAAACTAATTGAGGGGCATAGAAGGGTTTGCTGCACTTGGATCATGATCTAGGAAGTTTGGCTATTTTATATATAATCCAAAATAATGTTGGGAGAATTTATTTTTCCTAGTAAGCTGTGCATTTTGAGTATGGGTGCTGTCTCATTCGTTTCTGTATTCTCATTGCCAGACATATCTATCTTATTTAATTAAAATGGGTCCAAAGAGTTCCCAGTGTGAGACTGCCACAGATTAATAAAAGGGAGATAATAAGAAATTATTCTGGATGTTTAGATCCACATTCTTTGCTCTAGTTCAGACTTGCTAGGGTGCAACATTATTTTTGATACCTAACTTGGCAATAGAGATGAGACTAAACACTATTATTCGTATTCTATCTTCAATTATTATACCCATGAAGCAACTGTCTTGTTATTTAAAATGAGTGCGTGTAAGAGCCTACTAGTCAGATGGGGCAGATTCTCCAGCATGCGTAACTGGCCAAATTTAGAGGAAACCTGAGGAAATTCATAGTTATTGAACCCTGTACCTTATGACAGAAAAGCTGTACCTGAAATGGAGAGTCCTTCAGCCTAGTTGCTATCACTTCTTATGTCTAGAGTTTGAGATCTATTATGAGACTTGGCTCCTTTGTACTGAGGTTGCTTGTTTTTATGAATGAGGGACATGACTGGGAGCCTAGAAGTGTCTTTAGCTGTAAATTTTAAGATGGTTTTCTAGAAATAATCCCAGATGAACTAACTCTCAGGTAAGATGAGACTTTATTTTTTTTCTTCTAAGTCTGTCTAGTACAGTCCAATGAAGACAATATACATTGTCAAAAAGATTTTAAGGTCCTTGAGTTCAAAGACTTGTATCACAAAGCATAATGCGGTCATTGTTACAGTTCTGACTCTTGATTTTGGAAAGGCTTGTGAAATGAGAGAGTGGTCATGATTATATGGTTTTGTGTGAGATTTTATATGCTAAGCGTCTTTAATGTATATTAACCTAACCGAACAGTAATTTAAATAAACTATCTAAAATCAGACACAATGTAGAACTCCCAATTCTAAATAAGTCTACTATTCAACATTTTACATTCGTGTTTGTATTGCATTTCTATTATTTTGAAACTCATAACTTACTGTTTTATGGCATTTTTCTTCATATTTGTACTTAATGTTCATTATTCATAGCATTAGGATATTCCATTGTATTAACCTACGTATTTATCTTTCCTGTATAGTAAATTTCTAGTTACTAATTATTTCATGTATTTAAAGGTCTAGGTTTGACATGTATTACAAGATTGTTGCTTCCTTTATACTGAGGTCGCTTGTTTTTATGAACAAGGGACGTTGTAGCTTGAATTCGGGGATGGTAAGCTGATTTTTTTTTTAATATGTTGCTCCTCTCTAGAGAAGGTGAAACTCAAGCAAGAAGGTATGTCACAGACAGCCATGACTGAAGTGGCAATGTAATTAGTCAGCATAATAGAAAACAGAACTGATGTGTTTACTCCTCAGTTGTAGTAAAAAGGCGTAAATTAGTTCTAATAAAAATGTCTTTAAAAAGATATGAATACATGTGGCCAAAGTAAAGACAGGAAAGGAGGCAGCAATATAAATATTGTATGTGGAACAGTGTGGTTTACTAACTGAAATATTAAAAGGAGTTATTCTGACCAAATGCTACTAGAAAATAAAATTATATTTTAAGAATCTGCAGTGGGAAACTAATGTTGAAGAATTTAGAACTAACAGTTAACTTTGACAGCATATGTACTGGGAAGGGAAGCATAAGAGTCTTCTGAGGTACTGGAAATATGCTTTATCTGGGTGTTGATTACACAGGTGAAATCATATGTTGAAAAACCAAGCTGTACACAAGATTTGTACTCTTTATTATATGCATCTTATATTTCAGTAAAATAGGTTTGTTTGTTGCAAATAAGGTTTTATTACTGTTTTTGTCAGCAGAATAAACAATCAGGGTGAAGTAGGGCCCGGCAGCCTTTGTAAACCTACGATTCATACTCCTTGCCACTGTGAAACCAATAACTTTTGGGATGCTGATTGCGATGGAGGATTTTAACAAGCACTTTAAATGTCCCCTTTGCTATGTTGAGATGAATTTATATACAATATAACCTACCTGTACCACAGTTTTTTTAAAAAAACAATGTAATGCCCTAATTTAAAGGAGAAATAAAACAAAAGTAAATAAAAATAAAATGTTTCAATGTGTAGATGATTGAGTACATCAACCCATAAACCAGAAGAAGGTGAGATGTTTGCATATATCGGTAACTAGGATCATTGTATGATTGAGAAAGTATATCTGGTAGGAATATATGTGTGCGTTAGTGACAACGGACTGTGTTACTATTAGTGATGGGACGTTTTTTCCCCCTTCCTGAAATTGTGGCCAACTCTTGGTAAAGTCCTGGACAAAAATCTCTGAGTTAGAAGAGACTTTTAAAGGTCAACAACCAATAGTCTATCACTTCAAGATATAGTCCCTGTTCGCTATGATTTCAAACATCCCTGCCACTGTTATGTCAATATTACCCTAGACATGATCGGTAGACTGGGAAAATGGGCCTACTACCATCATTGTTGTAATAATGTAGTCCTGTTACTGCGGTTATGGTCAAATTAATTTTACATACACTAACTGTATTGTCAACTCTTCCTAAGTCTCATGCAGACTTTATAAACCATATCTTTCAAAGTCAGTGCTTTTGCCAGACCAAACTAATATCTATATTAAATTTCATTTTGCTACATCCTCTCCTTTGGCCTGTGGAAATCCTTTTGACTCCTAATTTCTCTTCCAGTATTAGCTAGGGCACCTAGTTTTGTGCCATTTGAAGAAATACATTTTCTAAATTAGCAAATGATGGTCTTTCAACTTTTTTTTTTTAAACATAACCCTATAATAACCAATAGTAATATTGGTTATTAGTATACCAGTAGTAACCTGCAGAAGCTTCCTTTCCATCTATACAAATGAGAATTGTATGGATTATAGTTTTAATA